GCACGTGTGGGGGGCATTTCAGCAGCACAAACTGCCAACTGTGGATGCAGAACTTCCCCAGGTTGGTGATCTGAGTACATGTGCTTGGCTGGATGAAGCTGGATGGCCCATGGCAAGCCATGACTGCAGCCCAAGCAGTTGGTTTCAGAACAAGCTCTGTGACAGCTGGGCCTCACACCAGCAGAGCAGAGCTGCAAGCTGGCAGGAGTGTGTCAGGCTTTATAGACGATGTTTGGGGAAGCATTTGCCACATGGCATATAAGAATCTGAAGCAGTCAATGTGTGCATGGATTGGTTGTGGAGCAGACCCAAGTGAACACAGGGATGTGCGGTGCAGGGGCTGGGAATGCAGAGCTGGGCACAGTGGGCTGCTTCCAAACAGCACGCAGACATCAGGGCTTAGAAGATGATCATCATTTAGGAGCACACGAGAGTAGTTCTTTAATGAAATGGGATTAAGAAATTCACATTTCAAAATCTGATCTGCATGCAGAATGTGGACGACTGTGTATCAGGTCCCTTTATTCACAACGCAGAGATTCAAGCACATCCGTGGTCTCTGATGCACAGCAGCAAAGGTGGAGCAAGAACCCAGAGTTCAGTGTATTGCTGTCATAGAAACTGATGGCCGGGTGCAACCGTGCAGCAGGACAACCTGCAGACCTCATGCAGTCATCCATCCGGCAAACAATAGTGGAAATTAAAGGTCGGAGAACTGATAGTGAGGCTTAGGAAAACGGCAATTAGGCTTCTAGAAAGAAAAGCTAAATTACCGGCAGTAGGAGTAAGGGGAAAAAAGAAGATTATTGATCTAAATATCACATTGACAGATACACAGAGTACAGTCTAGAGGTTTTTTACACCTCTGGGCTTTCTCAGCCCCCACAATAAAAAATGCAGGCCTATAAAGATGGAATAAGAAGCAATCAATTAGGATGGCATTTGCTCCCTTCTGCGCTGCAATTGGGCAGGCACATCACAATTAATGATTTATTAGGAGATTTTTGCTTTTTTTTTTTTTTTCCATTTTACATAGATGGCTGCAGCTAGACTGTAGTTGTTTATTAATTTGTGCGCATTCAAGCATCTTTGTTAAATAGCATGTGGAAAAGGTAAACATTTGGCTTGCAATGGGATTATGTTGCATAGTATATGGAGGCAAACTCAGCCTGGCATGCAACTCTGTGTGTTGGGTTCCCTGGCTGCACTTTCACATAAAAAGCTTTCACAGCTTTTTATTGAAAACAGCTAGGAAAAGGCAAGCACACTAGAAAAAAGGAATTCCATTTAGAAGAAAGCCTGAATAATTATCTCCATATTCATCTATTTCAATTGAACACCTCCCTAGGAGTGGCTGCAATGAGCTAATTGGTTTTACTCTGCTGTGCATGGCTTCACAGCCCAGACTCCAGATTTATAGCACACAGACAAGAAGGTGTGTGAATTCATCATCTGTCCCCCCACATCAATCCCTGACTCCTCCTGACTGATATTTGTCTGCGTGTTTATATGCTGTCAAGTGCTGGACGAGACAAAAGACAAACTCTAGGATTAAACAATTTTAGTAGAATCTGGTGCAACCAGAAAATCAGAATGAATTATTACCTTTTCAGCAAGACATGACTTCAGACAGGCCAGCTCTAGAGGAATGAGAAAAGGACTTTTGCCAGCACATGCTTTTATGGAGAGAAGGGGGAAAAAAGCACAGAATTTAAGAACTTAAAAACATGCCAAGTTCAGAACAAATTCTTATCTCATAAGGGAAGCGGAGTGTATAACAATCAGCCATAGAAGTCTTTCTGAATGGTCTCAGAAAAGCACTCTGGAAATTAAGGACTTCAAATGCAACAATTGAAAGTGAAGCTAAATGAATTACAGGGGAATACGAGTAAATGCTACATGTATAGGTCAAGCAGTGTTTTATCAATCTTATGTTTACTCTAGCAGCTCTCGTGTTGCCCATTGTTTTACCTTGTTTGAGCAGATATGCTTCTCCTTATTTGAAAATCAATTGTAATCTTATGAAAGAAAATGTACAGCAGAGGGAATGCTGTAAAACAGCACAGTGAAAGAAAGCATTGTTCGCTATCTGGAATTACTCCCAAGTAGGGAGGGAACGATGTTAAAGAAGTGTGCATAGCTCTGAGCTGCCATCGTTCCATTCTCACGTGCCATATAATGTCATTTCTTAATTTTATTAAAAGACAATTGTGGACAATGCATGTTACAGCACTTATTTACACTACTGATAGTGGGAGAGTGTGAGAAGGAGGAAAGATGAGCTGCGTTTTTTAATTCCCAGTGACTGCTGATCCAAAGCTTATAAAAGTTGGAGGTGCAGCCCTCTAATATTTGCCTCTTCACCTGCACAGCTTCAGATGGGTCCTTTGATTCTAGTGTAGTTATTGTTCTCATCAGGAAAATATGTGCCTATATAAACAAACGGACAGGACAATATCTACCCTTAGAGCTGCACAGGACTAAATCATTTCCCAGGTATGCCTAGTAGGTGTCGACAACTGAATCAGCTCCTGGATTGCTCAGTATCCTCTGAGCACATTGAGTTTTACCCTAATAGAAAGCTTCCTGAAAGATTATGATCCTCCTTCAGGCTTTACATTGAGATATGTTTGTGTACTCAAGATTTTTGATATACCTCCTATTTTAAAAATATACCTTATTGTAAACTATTTTGCTGCAGGCCAAAAGCAGATGTTGTCATGGCTTTTAGAAAAGCTGCTGTAACATCTGTTGGCAGTTGTGTGGTATTTGCTCACATAGCCAAACTCATTGGCAACACCGGGATTATGATCTGCTAAAGGTGCTAAGCAGCCTGCAAGACTGGTCCTTGTCAATGCCTTAAGTACAGTTAATAGGCATCTCTTAATCCTGTTTGGTTTTGCACGGTGGTAGCAGACAAAAACTGTGGTCCATGGTCAGAGATTGTCAATAGATGCACAACGTGCTTAAATCCTTTGAAATTGCAACAGATTAGATCCTGTGATGTTAGTAGTGCTGTCATCTACTCGAAGAGAGTGGGAGCTCATCAGCTTGTCACTGCTGGCATGCCATACAACATTAACGTAATGTAATAGGCGATAACTGGCGTGGATTTAGTAAGAGACGATCCTGCTAAAGTAATCTCCTTGGGTTCTTTTGAGCAGGTTTCAGACAAAATTGCTAATAGGAGTGTACGTATGACATAATCTAATGGATTTTTCAAAAGGCTTTTGATACATTTCCATATGATATTTCCCCTGTTTAAGCTGTGTGCCACAGAGATTTCAAATTGAGCAAGAGAATGCGTAAAGAACGAGTGGAAACTGTGGGAAATAAAGAGAAAAGATCTATAGCATGTGCTGGAACTAGAATCCTCTCTCAGCTTCCCACTGTTCTTCCCCACCACTCAGCATGGCTGGAAAAAGAGATACCATCTGCATTCACTAATGAAAACTTGTTTAGGACAGGTGCGTACCAGAAAAGAGGGCAAAATGCCATTCAAGATACCACTAAAGAGCAAATTTAAATCTACATTAACATAGGGCAGATTGAATATTTTTGCTGGCAGTAGTGGAATAATATACAGTAAACATACGCACACTGAAGGGCGCCAATGGATGTGTATGGGTTAGTACTGAGAAGGGACTCTTGTGCTAACAAAGGAATGATTTATTATCATTTACATAACCTGGCATTTGTGCACACCAAAGGCCAGATTTTCAGAGTGCTCTGCTCCTGCAGTTTGGGGCCAGGTTTCACTTCCAGACTCATTGCCAGCTCTTATCATTTCTCCAGTGTTTAATTTGCCATATGTCAATCAGAGTGTTGATTTGCAAGTGCTGATAATAGGCAGCGTTGAGACATGAGCACATTTGAAAATTTGGGAATGTGTCTTACTGGCAGCTTCTGAGCTCCAAATACTGGAAGTTTTCAGAGGCCAGGATCCCTGATCAGCCATATGATAAATCAAGGCCTGGAAAGCAGAGAGAATGCAGCTAATGCATCAGGATATGCCTGAACTGGACATGCTCCATGAAAATCAGTGCTAAATGAGAGCATTAAGCACCAGGAAGGGCAGTGGCAAAATCACAAGAAACGCTTTAAATAATCAAATCAAATCAAGTGCATGAAAGAAAGAAATTGTCTGAAGATGCAATAAAATGCTATCACTGAAATTTGAGGGAGGCAAAATACCTTATTTTAAAGGGATGTAGTCATCATAAAAATGGCACATTTTAATCTGCCATTTTTACCTGCTGTTGACATTAACTGTCTGATTGCTCCAGTGAATGAGAGTATCAGGAACGTTTCTGGTTTTCCTCGAACACTTGCTGATATGTGGGCAGTGGGTGGGTGAGAGTGACTTTCACAGAATCACAGACTGGCCAGGGTTGGAAGGGACCTCAAGGATCACGAATCTCCAACCCCCTGCCACATGCAGGGCCACCAACCTGCACATTTATTGCTAGACCAGGCTGCCCAGGGCCCCATCCAACCTGGCCTTGAACACCTCCAGGGATGGACGGAGCATCCACAGCCTCTCTGGGCAGCTGTTCCAGCACCTCACCACTCTCTCTGTAAAGAATTCCCCCCAGACATCCAACCTAAATCTCCCCTCCCTCAACTTAAAACCATTTCCCCTCGTCCTGCAGTTATCTACCCTTTCAAAGAGTTGATTCCCCTCCCCGCTGTAGGTTCCCTTCAGGTATTGAAATGCTGCAGTGAGGTCACCCTGCAGCCTTTTCTCCAGGCTGAACAAGCCCAGCTCCCTCAGCCTGTCAACTTTCCTCTCGTTTGGGCCAAAAAGTGAATCTGAGCTTCAAAGGGCTTGGGGAAATATGAACAGCAGAAGTGAGAAAGGGACTAGTCACTCACAACGAGCAACCCCATGGTTCTCCATGGGACTGAGGTCTATGTCTGTGTGCTGCTTAAAGGGAGAGAGGACATAGCCTTGAGAAGCAAAAGTCCCATCTGTGACTGCCTCTGTCTTTTATTTGCAGTATTCGGGGGAAGTTCCTGAGAACAGAGTGGAGGTTGTGGTTGCAAATTTGACAGTGATGGACCGGGACCAGCCTCACTCTCCCAACTGGAATGCCATCTACCGCATCATCAGCGGGGACCCCTCTGGCCACTTCACCATCCGGACAGACCCTGTCACCAATGAAGGCATGGTAACTGTGGTCAAGGTAAGTGGGAAGCCAAAGTAAAGCCATATTTCTCACCCTTTAAGCTCGCTAAGGCTGAAAGGATTGCCCAAAGACTGCAGCTATTTCATGCCTTCTATACCTGGGAGTATGAGTGCTTCAATCTGTTGTTTCCCCACTCGCTGTGAGCATCCTGAATACTTCTACTTTGCCAATGATTTGGAGTTTCTCCCACTGTAATCTCTCATAAACTCTCACATTCCAAGGGCAGCTGCCCACATCAGAGCCTGACCTGATCCTTTTGAGCTCTGGCAGTGGGGCTGGTACCAGGACTGCCCAGTCCTGCCTTGCCTGGTGCCTCGGGCAGAGGCTGAACCTTCTTCTTTCTGAGCCTGTGAATAGGGGATGGCATTTCACTGCAGGAGATCAGCCAAATGATCTGCAAGGAGTGCAGGAGAGATTTCAGGAGGAATGAATTTCCTGGTAACAGAAGGAAAGAAGTGAGATTTTCCTCTCAGTTGCTTAGCAAAAAATGGTTGCAGAAATTTTCCTTTTCCTACAATCAAGCAATAAACACACAGTGTGAACCACATCCTAAGTGAAGGCTGCTCCGTGTGTTAGATCATCAGTGGATCTTGTCCAATGACTCAGAAATAAGACTGTAAATTTTCACTACCTCTTCTTTCCTGTATACTTTGCCGTAAACATTAGGAGAGCCCAAACCCTCCAGGTCTTTACAGGTGTCAAATTCTGTTTCCCTTCTTGCCTACAGAGAACATGCCTCTATCATTGCTGGGTTCACTCCCCACTCCCTGAGACCAGCAGCCCAGGCAGTGAGTGCTCCTGCAGTAATTACACACAGTCAGAAACTACTGGGTTCATTCATTCAGCATTCACTGAATCTCTTCCCCGAAAAGATGCCTATGGATGCTCCCACTGACTGCCACGAAAATGAAGGCATCATGAATAGGCTGCTGTGATCTGTGGGAGCTTGCACTGAACGCACTGTGTGCTGCATCTGAAATGGATAATATGTGCTGGGATGAACAAAGACTTCTGAGAAGTCTGGCCTGCTCGAACAGAAAGTTTTAATCAACTACTTAGGATGGAGCACCTGTGTTTAAAGAGCAAGCTGTTTAAGGAATAACTCTGTGTTGAAAAAAAAAAAGAGCCCCACTTCCTTATAGCTAATAAGTTGCAGTCATTCTTAGTACTTACAGTTTGGATATTAGAAAAAAAATGACACCAGAGGAATGGCAATGAGTTAATGCTGGTAGGAGCGTGTGAGCTTGAGAGCTCATCCTGTTCTGTGGCCCTGGGCTGTGTGTGTGTCTGCAGATGCCACTTTGCCGAAAGTTTAAGGAAGACATCATCTTACCTGCTAGATGATATTTCAGCAGGGTCCTTGTATCTATCACCCTTTATTGCTCTGTAAGGACATTTGACAGCCTTATCTTGTGCAATGCTGCTCAACCTCTTCAAGTGCTCAGTAGCTCTAGATGCACATATATATGGACACGCTTATGCATTTAAGTATACCTATATGCATGTCTATATTTTCTGCCTAAACAAAAAACGTTCCACAAACTAAAATGGAACTATTTAACTTGTGTTGATATCGACAGTCGGTCTGAAATTCAAATGCTGGCACTCTGACTGAAAGCAAGGGAGGAGCTCTTATTCTTAATCTAGTGAAGCGTCATGACTGTAGTTTAAAGCCATGTCAGAGTGAAGAGCAGGGATTTACAAGATCATTGCTGCTATGCAAGGATTTTTGCATAATGAACCATCCTTTATTCAGAACATGCAAGCAAAAAGCGGGGCAGATTTGTCAAGACCCCATAGATGCTGCTGTTGACTTTCCACTGCTGTGTAACCCACAGTGATCACAATGCAAAGAACCACATGAAAATCCTATCTTGTCAAGCTGAGCTCAAAGCTTGAAATTGCACTGAATGTCTTCCGTATATAACCTTACCTTATCCTCCTGGGTGCCCTGAGTTGCTTACCCTTGTCAAGCCTGCAAGGCTTTTTGGTGTATTTTCAGCAAAGAGAACGAGTGAAATTTCTTGTGATTAAATTTTCATGGTAAAGAAGGGAAGGCTCTTAGGATTCCACTTTCTTTGAAATATTTTGTTCTTGGTTAATAAATGAATATGCTTAAAGGTTAGGGGAATGTATGAGCACCAAACTGGGTGGCCAGTTAGCACTTGTTCTTCATAGTGCAAGAGCAGGCTCTTGCTGGTTTAATCCCTGTTATAGGTTGAAAACACAGGTAACAAATTAATTCAAGTAATGAACCTTTTATGTACAGACCCGACACAGCTGGATTTTTCATGTGACTCTTTAGGCTGGTTATACATAACTCCCCACTGCTGCAAGGAAAGGAGTTTGCATCTGGGCTATAACAATCACAGGCAGGCAGAGAAGGGGATGTTGCAGAGAATCCAAACCAGCAGCCCTTTGGAGTTCAGATGGAGCTCACAATGGCCATTCTGCAGCTGCTCTCAGCAAAGCTGCATCTGCCGCTCCAGCCAGATCACCAAAAGCATAACATTTCCTTTTTCTGTTCATGCCTTTTCCAAACCATTTCCATAACTAGACCCTAATCTTCAAAGGAAGCCTTGATCAAGGAGAGAGAGTAACTTCTCACACAGCTGAGACAACGCAGAGTCTGGAGACAATCTCCAGGAGCAGCAGTGGCTGCCCTGTGGCAGCTGGCTGAGTGAAATGTTATTATAAACTCTGCATGGATCAGAGCTGTGAATTTATAATGGGGATGCTTCTGAAGCTGCAGTTATTATTTGCTTCAACAATAACATAAGGCAAATTTGTTCTCTTTAGTTAAAAGTACTTTTGAGTAAAGAGGGACACGTGGCAAGCCCTTCACTCTGCTGCATCTGGGCAGGAGGTGCTCGTGAAGGAGGGGAAGGTGCAGGAAATGCACGCAGGTGCTTCAGAGACAAAAATGTGACTGTGGGACAGCCCATGGGGTGGGTGTTATGGGGTGAATCCTGTCCCTGTGCTGTGTTTCTGCATCTCTGGTTTCGGAGCTCCCAGGAAAGAAACACAGCAGGTGAGTGAGCAGCTCAATAGATTTTAAGGAAAAAAAAAAAAAAGATTTAAAGAATCCACATCCAAAAGATCTGTGTGCAGTCAATGTATGTCCAGTGCACCATCAAACAAGGAACCCATTCCTGCATCAGCCCTCAGTGCTGCTCAGAGCCACCCCCAGCACTGGGAGCTCCTGCAGGGACTGGGTGCTCCTGTCCATGACAAGGCTAGCAAACATGCAGCACTGAAAAAGTACAGAATGGAGGAACATGAATTATAGGTGCATATAAGGAATTGAAGAAATGTATTAGTCGAATTGTTTTGAGGCCTCAAATAGTGTTTAAATGAGAACTTTTACCATCCATCTATTTTGAATGCGGCAGAAGTTGGTGAGTCAATGCTAGTGGGTGTACTGGGAATCTCTGTGCTTCCTTTTATTTATTAAATGTTGGCCCTGCCTGTCAGGAAACCATTTAGCAGTAGGAGCATTTGCACTTCAATCGAATAGAGATTCCACTCTTTTACCTTTTGCCCCTGAAATTTGTTTCTCTGTTGTAGTTTCCTCTGATTTGATTTCTCTCCTGACAGTGCTGTATTTTAAACAGACCACGGAAGCCAGCTCTGGCTGATGTAAATCTGTATGGCTGTACCAAAGTCAATGGAGCTGTGGCATTTTACACCATGCGACTCAGCACTGAGCTGTGAGCAAGAATGGCTGTGCTTCTACATTCATACATTGCAGCAAAGCATTGTTTAACGTGCAGAGGTGTGATCTTGCATAACTCAAGACTCCCTGGCAGATGATTAGCAACTTCCCTCATAATAATAAGTGGGATGGATAAGAAACTATTATATTGCTGCTGTTTGGTCAGTTGTGCCAGCAAAGACCCTTCACTCCTTCTGGCTCCTCAGACACAGCATCTTCACATGCATGTACACAGAGATCTATGACCACCCAAGAAAGGTCTGTGCAAGCACACAGACAACCAACCTCCAGAGCTGACCAGGCACTGTTCCTTGAGGCTGAACCTTTGCTTATGATGTTATTAAAGAGGAAAAGTGAGAGCACTTCAGGCTCGTGGATCCACACAGGCTGCCCCGGCTACTCAGTCAGCAGCTGTGAGTGCAAACAGAACAGTTCTGAGCAAGCTCTGCCTGTTGCATTTACAGCAAACCCTTGGTGGGTTTGTTCATTCAATGCTAAACTAACACTGGCAGTTTCTGGTTTGGAAACTACTTAGCATTGGAAGCAAATACAGAGCAAATCCTCCCTGGTGGCTGCAATTTTTACTTTGTGTTTTTTTTAACTATTTGGCCCTCGAAATACTGGAAGACCAAATCCTTGCTGGACCGAAGCCGGTCTGGATTTACCCCTTCAGAAGAACTGTGCTCAGAAGGAAATGACTTTAATATCATCTGTCTTCTAGATCTTGCAGCTTTCGGCCAGAAGGTAGGATTTATTCCCTGCTTGGCTCTATTCTTGCTTGCTTGTTTGTTTCAGGCAGTCGACTACGAGATGAACAGAGCGTTCATGCTGACAGTGATGGTATCCAACCAAGCTCCCCTGGCCAGTGGAATCCAGATGTCCTTCCAGTCGACAGCAGGAGTCACCATTTCAGTTACGGATGTCAACGAAGCGCCGTACTTCCCAACAAACCACAAGCTGATCAGGCTGGAGGAAGGCGTGCCCACAGGGACGGTCCTCACGACCTTTTCAGCTGTAGATCCGGATCGCTTCATGCAGCAGGCAGTGAGGTGGGAGAGCAGGCAGTAAGGTCGGGTCTGCATGGGGAATTTCAGCAGCAGCTGGACTCTAATTCATGAGCTAACAGATGTGGTAGCAGTGCAAGACCTGGTGGGTTCTTGCAGCCTCTGTTAAGTGCTTGCAGTTTTACCAGAGCTGGTAAATCCCACAGAATTGTCTTTTTTGCTACCAGACTGTAAGGACTGTGGTGTTTTTGGCAAAGCGCAGGCACTCTGTGTGACCGCAGCAGAGGCCGCATAAACCTCCATCAGTGCTGACGTTTTGTGTCAGGAGTTGCACACAGTATTTCACCTGGCGCAGCACTGTCTGGTCTAGAGAATGATTGTTTATTCACTGCCTTGTTCTTGTTGTCTTTAGACAGGTATTTCAGCTGCTAAGGAGAGAGACCCTCCAAACTAACAAGCCAGTTTTTCTTCTATTCATTTTGAAATATTGGCCTTTGAAGGGCCTTTGTTTCCCTGATGTGCGTAGCAAGGCTGGTTCTTCAGAGGAGAGAGCAGTTTGTTTGTGGCTGAATGCTTTCATCCCCAGAAACAACATCTGCCATTTTTTGGGGAGGACTGGCTCTGCCGAGCCCTTCACGTAGTCACACAGTGCCTGTGCAGGGTTTGTAAGGCTTGCTGTAAATAAGAACATCAAAAGTACTTTTCCCTGGGGCTCCCAGGTCACACATTCTGTGAATCCCAGAGCACTTTGCTTCCCAGCACAGGTACAATCTCTCTTAGTGCCTTTTCTTCAGGGTAGCCTGATGCCAGTGAAGCAGTGGGGTGTTGTTACGGTCCTGTAGCCATGCAAAGGTATCTTTTCTTCCTTCATCACTGACAATGGTGGAAAAAAAGATACTCTAAAAGCTAAGCTTATGAATCCATGGTGAGCAGTTCTCAGAGAGCTGATCCAGCTGCTGTAGCCTTGCACACTGTTTTCAAAGCCTGTCTCCAAATAGTCTTTAATAAAGTGAGGTTTTATAAATATGAGATAAGGAAGCGGGAGCTTCTCCATGCAGGCACAGCTTGGCATGGCCAATGTCACACCTCAGGTTATCTTCATTAGCCACAGACACATTCACAAGGCCAGGCTGGATCCCTGGTCGTTTAGCTGTGCAAGGGCAAGAGACTCACAGCAGTGATAGTAAAAAGAAATGAAAACATCCCAAAGGGTCTAGCTCCATAAAATGTAATTCTTTCCTTTGGCAGGGGCTTGTGAAACTGTGCTGTTGCTTTCCTGCTCACATGGATTCACACAACGCAAGTTTTGCTTTGAGTTTCAGCTTCAGGCAGCCCATTTCTGGAAAGGAATATTCACCATATTCACCAGCAGCCAGAAGTTCTCATGTTTGTGTATTTCAAGACAAAAAAAAAAAAAAATTGATATCAAACTGTCAGCAGGTCTGAGCTCCCCATGAAATAAGCTCAGCTTTTGTTTGCTCATTTCAGTGTTTTATAGCATGGCCATTTATTAGCTTCCAGTTTAACTACAACTCAAACTCTATAAAACAGAGGCAGAAATCTGTTGCCAGGAAAAGAATAGAAGCAAGAAAACGAGCAGGTGAAAAAGTCTGGAGAACATGGAAAACCTTTGCCCAGAGCAAACCATGTTAATAGCTGGCCGTATAAGACCTGAACAGACTGGGGATGAGTTGACCTAATACTCAGGAATCTGCCTGAGAATGAGCTAGTTTAGGAAGGGCAGCAGAACAGGAGAGAGCAGAAATCTGCCCCTAATCAGGCATACGTATGCAGTGGTCATTGCATACCCCATTTCCTCTTGGCTGCAGAATCCCTGGGCTAAGGCACTCCCAGTTGCAGAAAGCTGACATGTAAATGGCACTTAATGGGGGGGAAAAAAAAAAAAGAAAAAAAAAAAAAACCTTAAAAAGGAAAGAAATAGAAAAATTGAATAATTGCAGAGGTCAAAAACCAGCTACTCAATTAGTATTTTGTTTGTAAACAAAACCGCTTATCCAAAGGTCCTTTGAATCATGGGTCAAGAGTCCAGAAAAACCTTATTTCAAGCAATATTAAGGATGTGTCAGTGAAAAGACTGCCATGTATTTATTTCCTTTCTCTGTAGATACTCTAAGCTGTCAGATCCTGCAAACTGGCTGAACATTAATGCCACAAATGGTCAGATCACTACTGCTGCTGTCCTTGATCGAGAGTCAGACTACATTAAGAATAATGTCTACGAGGCCACATTCTTGGCGGCTGACAATGGTGAGCCCAGGCTTCACATTGTTCATGCTTCAATAAGACTCTAATGTGATGCATTAAGAGAAATGATGCCCTGACAGAGTTGTCAGTATAAGTTATCTTTTTCCCAGGTTTTTATGGTCAAAAATGTGAAAGTGGGATGGGAAATTGCTGGAGTAAATTAAATGTGCACAGTATACAGAGAGTGTTATTAAGGGAAAGGGAGGGCAAATGGAAAATCGATTTGGGGAGTTCACTGTAGCGGTGTAGCCTGAACTTAAAAAAATATCAAAGGGATGTGATCTCCAAGGGCTGCTGAACACACCGGTCCTGGTAATTGTCCCAAAGGCACTGATCAGAGCATCCAGGAAGCCTTCCATCAGGAAACCAGAAATAATTGCAGGGGATGGCAGGAGGGTATTAAAACTCCATTGAATTGCGATGGCCTTCATGAAAGGTGTCTGTCCATCATCAGAGCTAATCTCTGTCTGTTATGATTTCTGAGATGTCCAGCCACCATCAGAGCATCTGGATCCTGGTGCACTTTATTATCAAAGTTACTGAAGCCAGCACAGATCTTCTCACAGAGAAATCAAGGCTTGCCCTCCTCCACTCATTAAAGATCACACGGTGCTTTCAGCCAAATTAGCACTGTGAGCCTCCGTGCCAGACTCACTCTAGGTCAGCTCCATTGCTGCCGCAGCAACTTCCCTGGGCAAGCAAAAGTCTTCTTCCCCTCTCCCACCCTCACCTTCCCCCTGCAGGGGGAGCTGGGTGAGCTGGGTGCTCAAACCAAACCTGAGCCACGCTTTAGCAACAGAATTCAGTCGAGATTTGGTATATTGCTTAGACACAGTCGGTGCTCTCAGGATGGTTTCTGCGTTAGATCTTCTTGTCCCTTAGGCTGAACGGTGCTGAGTCTGTCATAAGTAGATATGGTGGTGCTTGCAGGGCTAGGGAAAACTTGCTTGCTGTGGGTTTTTCAGTTTCATTTCAGTCATCGCATCCTGGGTCACAGGGACAAGGCAGACTGGAAGAGTTTGAATGCTAAGCAGAAGTACCATGCAGCCAATTTTGCCCCTGCTTTGTGCCATCAGTGGTAGGGCCACCTGCACTGACATCCCAGCTTCCCCTCTGTGAAGGCAGCCAGGGCAGTGAAATCCAAAACAGCCCAAGGAGTTCTAGCAGCATTTATCTGCAAGACTCCCAGGGCAAAATGAATCAAATGAGCTGGCTAAGGCTATACTCAGAAGCAGTGGTACAGTGTGAACCCATCAAACTAATCCTCTCCATCTGACCTTGCAAATCCAGGGCACTTAGTACAACATGATCTCAAGTTAACCCTTTGTCTTGGCTTTGGTGCTGATGCTGCAATGCATCGGAACCTCCACATCCATCATTCAGAAGCTCAGAAAGCGAGGACCTAGATAAATCTCTCTATTCTGAAAAATTAATCTATCACTGGTATATTGCAGATGTTAAAACGCACATAAAGCAACACCTTATTTAAAATTCTGTCTAGAGTGCTTAGGATAACATCAAAATTTTCATCTAGACTAATAGACTCTTCATATTTCCCCCAAGTTCCACCTTCTCTGGTATCATGTACTCATCAATGAAAGCCTCTGGGCTGGGGTTTTTTGGTGGGGATTTCTCTTTCTTTCTTGAAGCAGAAGCATCTCATTTCCTTAATTTCTTTTTGCTATTTTCAATATATTATAAAGAAGTAGTTTAGCCAAATACTCCTTGGAATACAGCAGTTAAATGTTGATGCAGCAGTTGCACATTCCCCTCTTTTACTTTATTTTTTTTGTTAATACCCTTATTGCTATTTCAATCTTAACTCGGGCAATAGATCCATTTCTCCACTGAAGTCAGTTGTGCTGTGCTAGTTTACATCTCCTGGGTGTAAAGTCTGAGGATCCTTTGCAGTGCATCAGTACCTGCTCTGCGAAAACCTCTGCTTTCTCCACATCAGACTGCTGAAATTATATGAAACGTTGCATGGTTTGCAATACTCGGATATGAAAATTTCAATTTCCATTTTTCCTGAGCCTACTGCTAAACTGCACTCAGGTGAAAGAACCAAAAATACCAGGAACCTGAGCACAGTAACACCCCGATACCCACACAAAACTGCATTTGTACATGAAGCAATTGCAGATTATTTCAGCAGCATGCGAGGCAGTGTCCCTCAGGGCAGCTGGTTTGCATTCAACCTATCTCAGAAGTTGTGGAGGAGTGTAGACCCTGCATTCATCCCAGAAAATAGGTAACATGAAAACAGCGCAATCACTTTGCTTGGTCCCAGAATTCTATTTTCGTGTTCGGTGCTGGTATCCTGATGTGCTCTGTCTCCAGAAACTTTCAAAGCTGATCAAAGACATTGTTTTAGAGGGAGACCTACGCAGTGCCTACAAGATGAAAGGGTGAGATCAATCATTGAAGAACTTACATAGGAGTTATGAAAGAAGGATTTCCAAGGCTCCTCCAGAGTTTAAGATTCCCTTAAAAAAGAGAAGCAGAAATGGGAAAGAATATAGGCAGGAAAGCCCGTGGAAGCAACACCTGAAATGCTAGTGAGGGGAAGGTTTGTGTAGCTTTGTATCCAGAATGTAAACTTAATAAAGAATTGCTGAAGCAAAGCTACCTGAGAAGGGAAGCAGTGGGCAAGCCTGAGCAGAGCTGTTGGATGTGTGCATGGGGTGAGAAATTAAAAATACCACGCTATTTCTGGAGAAGCTGGTCCTTCCTGCTAGGCAGGGCATCACTTTGTGTAGCTGGGTCACAGTCAGGCAAACATGGCTCATTATCAGCAAGAGGCTGGAGGACCAAGGCTCCTGTGCTGTGGCACCCCTGATGGCTGGGACAAATGGGGAGAGGCTGAAGAACTCTACATTGGGACATACTGTTGCTGCCGTGAATTAGGAGCAGCCCCACACATTTGGTGATGATTGACTCTCACTGTAGGCTTTGAGCAAGGACCCTTCACTCAAGTTGGACTGACTGTGGAATGGGTTATAGAGTTGGGCTTTCCTTGGAGCAGTGTAATAGTCTACAAATCTACAAACTGGCTAACTGGTGCTACAGTGAATGCTAACCATGGGATTACTCCATTTTTTTTGTTTTTTCCTTCCAAGCCCTCTTCTTCCTCCTTTTAGCTATCTTTTCAGATGGTTTTTCCTCTTCAAAACAGCAGTTACCAGAATTTGTACTAACAGCCTGGCATCACCTCCTTGTATTTTTAGAATTTGACTAAAGACATTGCTGTAGGCTACAAATCTGCAGAGCTGAACCTCCACATTCTGCAGGAGTGAAAAACAGCACCATTATGAGGCTTGGGGAAGTTTTAATAATGCCTCTTAAAGCAAGGGACCGTGAATGTGCAGTATGTCCCTAGTAAGGTCCAAGGAGGGAGGGAGAAAATCCTGGTTTATTGAAATTGGGAGGCAGAGTGGGGACGGTGCACAGTATCATATCTTCTGCTTCCCAAGTGATGGGCATTGGTTCTTGTTCGGCTCAGGTATACCCCCGGCCAGCGGCACTGGCACTCTGCAGATCTACCTAATCGACATCAACGATAATGCTCCTGAGCTCCTGCCAAAGGAAGCACAGATCTGTGAAAAGCCGAACCTGAATGTCATCAATATAACAGCCGCAGATGCTGACATCGATCCAAACGTCGGGCCCTTTGTCTTCGAGCTGCCAAGTGTGCCATCTGCGGTGAGGAAGAACTGGACCATAACACGACTGAATGGTAAATGGGGCAGGCAATCCTAAGGACATTTGGACTCTGATTCACTAATGAGGCCACGTGCAGTTTCAAACTTCCAAACTTTCTGACTTTTTTATCTGATTTTTATTTTTTAAAGCACATTATGGCTGACATTATAGACAAGATAGTTAATCAGAAATGATTTGTATCAGACCTGCAGCATAACTCTAAGAGCCTTGGCACTTGGCTTTTTTTAATGCAGTTCATAATTATGAACGGTTATCAGTACTGAACAGAGTATAAATCATCCATAATGGCCAAGGGGAAAAAAGCTATTATCAGTCTTCCTTATGTTCCAGTGTAATTGTCATAAGCCACAATCAGGATCAATGTTCATTTCTCTGACCATAATTGCATAAAGGAAGCCTTTTAATTTACCATAGAACCAGGAGGGCTAGGTAAGTGTGAAGATTATCAGTATGTGAAGGATTTTTATATTGCAGCATGCAACCACAATTGGCCCTAATTGCTCCTCTGATTATTAGTATTTTCAGCAGAGGATTGAAAACATCATGGAGCCCAAAGGCTGGTTTTGCCTTCAGACCTGGTCCCCGTCACTGAGAGGCCTGTGCCTGTGTGGTTTGAGGCTCAGTCCCACAGCTCTGATATCCAATGGGAGGGAACTTGAGAAGGACTAATGCAACTGAGCAAGTCAGGGATGGTGTTTGGGCTTCCCAAATCCCCCAAAGAGGGTGGGCATGGCTTTGTGAGTCACGGCTGTCCGTGTCTACCACGTATTTGTCTGCTATGGTCACTCCAGGTGATTACGCCCAGCTTAGTTTACGGATCATGTACCTGGAAGCCGGTGTGTACGATGTGCCAATCATTGTGACAGACTCAGGAAACCCCCCCTTGTACAACACGTCCATCATCAAAGTGAAGGTGTGCCCGTGTGACGAGAACGGTGACTGCACCACCATTGGGGCGGTGGCTGCTGCAGGACTGGGCACGGGAGCCATCATCGCCATCCTGATCTGCATCATTATCTTGCTAAGTGAGTACCGCAGGGGGTGACACCACCGAGGGATGTCACGTTTCCCACCAAGCTCCCGTTTGTCTCATTAAATGCTTTATTTCCTAATGAGCCATACAAGCTCTGTGCAAAGGACTGAGCCGTGAGCTCTGGGCTGTGGGTGGTGACTGGCGTGTGTGCCAGATCTTCTTTACTGCAATGTCAGCAGGGTAAGCATGGGCTGCACACTTCAGACGTTCCTTTTTAAGGCTTCCAGTAGCTTTACAAATACTCATTACATCTGACAACATCCTCTAGGTCGTGAGTATGATATGATTCTCCATGTTTCGCAGAAAAGTGGTTGGATGACTCGTCTCAAATCCTATAGCAGAGTGCTCCACAGCTCTGGGGTCACTGCCTGTCCCTGTGTGGCTGTGGATGTACTGGTTCCCAGTTCCTGATGCACTGGTTATGAGAGTCTGTCTGGCCCCTGACAGAGCCAGTGCACAGCTGCAATTTGCAATCCCAAAAGAAAAAAGCAATTAGTTAATCTCATTGTTTGTAAAATTGCAATGGACTGTAGAACCAAGGTCAGTTTTGAGTGTTTGCAGAGGAAGGACTTCCAGTTTGGGGGAGCACTCAGGCTGGGGGTGATGTAAGATAACACAGAGCCACAGCCATCTCAATTGCCCAGCAATGCCATTAGTCCTGGATTTTCGTGAGCATTGCCAACAACCATGTGTGCACACATTTTAAAATAAAAATGATATCATTATAACTTCAAGCAGGAGTTGGCACAGTAGGGATAGATAAAAACGAGTGCCGAAATGAACAATGAGGTAAATATTCATCAAGAAACACAGGATGAAACCATGGGGCTCCCATTAAAGCTAATGGGAATTATGGTGCTAAATCACATTTAATTTTTACCCCCAATGTGTGTAAACAGGGAACAGACAGAGCAACGTATGCTACAAATGTCACCTAATGCAGTTATGATATGGTACATTAAGAGAGTGGGTCATCTCTGGGCACATATCCACCCTCCTGGGCCAGCAGTGGAATACATGGCCGTGTAATTGATTTGCCCCGTCAGTCTGGAGAGGGAGCAGCAAAGCCACTGGCTGTGCCGTCCCCGTTCCTCATCCAGCACATCCAAGCAGGCACAAACATCTCCACGCACAGCTACGATGTGCACATTCTGACTTCCCTTGGATGTGTTGGTCCCAGCAGTGAAATTTTGATGCTGTCCATTCACGATGCACATTTGCTGTGATTGCAAGCACCTGCAGGCTTCACCACCCCATGGAAGATTGACTCCTAATGCTGAATTCATAGAGGATGGGGACACAGGAAGAGTTTGCACCACAGATCACAGAGGTGATAAAACACACGACTTCCTTCTGCTGCTCTCGCTTAAATCCAGTGCTAAAATACGATTTAAACAGTTGAAAATCCTATTGACTGAAATTAACATCAGCTGAAGGACGTTTGATTTAAGAGATTCCTCTTTTCATTTTCAGATACATTATCCCTTTTTAAATTACGGGTTTTATTACAAAAGCTTATTTTTACATTCATTGTAATTCTAATTGACTTTTTTTTTTATCTTCAAGAGCTGCAAAGCACTGCATCAGTGATGAAAAATGTAATTTGCAATGAGTGGAGTTTTTCAGCTACATCCTTCTGGTGTTTTGCCTCCTTTGTATATATTTTATATCATGACCCCTGAACAAAAGCCTGCAAAAAGGCAGATGGATTTTTTTGTGTGCACTATTTGTCCATTTTAGAGTCAGAGGGTCAAAGTTTGATGGCTTGAAAAGAAAGAAGCAGCGAGGGGATGGATCAGAGGGTGCTCAGGTGAAGGAAGTTTCTGTCTTTACCTTTGCTCAAAGGGTTTTTCTTCTTCCTAATACCTGATGTATTAGCTGCACAAATAACACAGTTAGCAGAAGAGCAATGCAATAAAAAAATTGTGAAGAGTGAAGACAATAGATTTCAAGAAAAACTACATGCAGAGTGAAAATGGGTCTAACAGCAGTAATAGCACTTCCCATTTCTACAGAGTGAATAAAAGGAAGGAGAGTGCACTACATCCGCTATTGACACTTTGAAGGTCTTGGTTTTTTTTCAAGGTATCTGTAAAGGCGTTAATGGTACAGTTTTTTCCACAAGTGCATGAAAAAGTAGCATTTAAAAAAAAAAAAAAGAAAGGAAAAAAAAAAAACTGGTAACCATTATAATATTGTCTTTGTGGACTAGGCAGGTATCTTGTTGTGAGAGACTTGAAAAGGAAAGATGAGAAAAGGACTTCAATAGTCTGCTAAACAGCTGAGGTTTTATATTGCAGATAAGAGTTACATTTTCTTTCCTTTTCATTTTTCTCTCTTGAATAGATGCAGGATAAGCACTATCTGAAAACAATTCTGTTAGCTAGCAGGAAAGGATGGCAGCCAATTGGCACACAATGGCAGTAATTAGCTGTCCATCCTCTTCTGCTCACTTCACTGAATTCCTGTTGGGTATAAACGCTGGGAGAGAAAGCACACATCCTCCTGACCCATCTCCCTCTGCAGTGGAGCTGCTGGTGAGGCTGCCCACCCCAGCCCCTGTGATCTGCACGGCAAAGGGAAGGAAAGCCCTGCAGAACACAGATTGGTGGGAAACAGCATCTGTTTGTTCTCCTTGTGCAGCTAAAAACACAACAAAAGCTTGGGATCGCCCATCCCACTTGGGTTTGCTTTCTGTTGTCTGCATGGCTGAGGTCAGCCCAAGTGAGATGGAGTTGTGCCACACGTTCCCACCTCCACTGTCTGTTCATCTCCCCCTTTGGCAGGTGCCAAATCACAAGCTAACGTCCTGTCTGATGTGATTTTAGAAGTTTAGATAACTTATTATCTCGCTTACCAAAGAAGAATATGAATGAGCCCAAATTGGATTATGTGACCCAGCATTACTCAGCTTCCTCAAAGCAGACTTCCTTTACAGACTGTAGGCGGATCAGCAGAACAACTGTCACAGCAATGGCTCACAGGCTGTGCTGCTGTCAGAACACCACTCATGCACAGGTGTTGTTCATTTGTCTGAACCTGTTGGCTTCTCGGCAGCTCTGTGACCCTTCCTCCTTTGCCTTTGTTTTATGCCCTTTGTAGAAAAATTCAGGATTTAGGCCAAATCTCTTCAGAAAGGTGACGTTTTCACACTTGCCTCTTGCTTTCCCTTTGATTGTGTATTTTACTTCTGATAAACATCAGCTCAATCAACATTTGTGATGGAGCTTAAGGAACTGTTTGGACTGGAAGCCTGTCATAGTATTCACAGCTCCCACTGATCTCTCCCTTACAAATGAGAACATGCGATAGGATTACATTTTATTCCTCTTACTAACAACCAGTGAAGTTTCTCCCCCAAACTGGCTCTGGTCTGTAATCTACATTGTAAGTCACACCATATGCAATTAACTCAGCATTTGCTCAGCACATGCTGACACATGCAGAGGATTCTTGCACGGGAGATGATTTAAAACATCGCTAGCCCTTATTACCAGTGTGAGCATTGCCTTTGTAAAATGGCACTACTGCTATAGAGGCGACATTGAGTTCCTCTCCGTGTGGTTGCATGAAGCAGGACAGGTTCTTGGTGCAGGTGAGGGGTGAGGAGGTGCCAGCACCCTGCCACGCAGCACTGCTCACCCGGCCCCTCTGCTCTTACAGCCATGGTGCTGCTGTTTGTGGTGTGGATGAAGCGTCGGGAGAAGGAGCGGCACACCAAGCAGCTCCTCATTGACCCCGAGGATGACGTGAGGGACAACATCCTGAAGTACGACGAGGAGGGCGGTGGAGAAGAAGATCAGGTGAGAGGGGCCAAGGGCAGCCATGCAATCTCTCTCAAAAACAGCAGAATCCCCATCCCTTCTGGTCATGTGCTCCTTGTTGTGGGTTGTGTTCCCGCTTGTTTGTGCCTGGGGAGCTTTATCAGCTTCCTTGCCTCTCATGCTGAGGGCACTGTTTGATCCCCACCTAATGGAAGTGAAGGGCCTGTGACACTCTCAGAAATGTTGCTCATGAAAATGATGTGACTGCACCACGTAATAGGGATCCGGGTCAGGGACTTTGCCCAAAACTTGCAAAGTTCTTACTCAACAAAAAAAGCCCTCGCAAGTAACGTTTCTTTTTTCTCATCACTGACAAGTTATTTATAAATACTGCTCCTGGAGATTCAATCATCCCCATCTGAGCACAAGAATAGTTTTACCAGCAGAACAAAGTACTGTTATAAACATCCAAACTAGCTGAGTATCTGCTTTCAGGCAACCGCACCGTGGGCTTAAATATTTTAGAAAGGATTCGTTAAAAATAACAGCTGAGGAAGAGCAGCAAAACACCATTACCTCCATGAATACATTTTTAATGAAATATTACCTGGTTCTCATTCCTTGAAAGAAACCTATTCTGTTGGGATTTTTCACAAGCAGAAAGAACATAATTACTTTAAAAGACCTACATGCATAAATGCAGTACATATTTTAATGTTTTTACTTCTGTACAAGTGTAATTGGAATAACACGGCAACCAGCGCTCTGTCATTCCATTATATTCTGAATTTTATCCAAAAGTAATGCACACATCTATGCATATGTAAACCAAAGCTGATTTTTTATCCCAAAGATTTCAACACTGTGTTAAATATTCAAAAAGTATTTAAATATTTGATTTAACTTATGTTTTAAGATACACTCTTAGGAAGTCAGTTTTATGAGGTTAGGTTCGCCTGTAATTTAGAGAGATAGAGATGCCACATACCCAGGGATGAGATCTGGCATTGAACTTCAGCTGAGAAAGGATTAAACCCTTTGGCTTCACTGCATGTCCCTGCAATGTCGGGAAAGTAACTACCTGAAGGAAAAGCCCTTGGTTTCACTTCGTGCCTTTCCATTTGTCACAGGATTACGACTTAAGCCAGCTCCAGCAGCCAGAGACCATGGATCACGTGCTGAACAAGGCACCTGGAGTCCGAAGGGTGGATGAGAGACCGATCGGTGCTGAGCCACAGTATCCTATAAGACCAGTAATCCCCCATCCTGGGGATATTGGTGACTTTATAAATGAGGTATCTTCTTCAAGGTGTCCTGTATCACATATTAAAAGCTTAAGCAGCCCGCACCAGCTGTGCACCGCTTTCCTGGCTGTATTAATGAGCAAGAGATGCTATTCCTCACACAAGGAATCTAATTAGAACCAGGGGAACAATTCCCATGAGCAAAGAAAGCAGGAGTTGGCCTAAGAAAGGTACCATTGCTACAGAAAGCCAAAGTACAAACAGAAAACCCAGGATTTCTGGTTTGTGGATATCAAAAATGCCATGCTTCTCAGCACTCAGGAAGGCATTGCAACAGGGAAGTGCTGGAGTCACCATCCCTGGTGGTGGTCAAGAAATTTGGAGATGTGGCACTTAGGGATATGGTTCAGTGGGCACAGTGGGGTGGGGTTGGACTTGATGGTTGTAGAGGCCTTTTCCAACCTCAATGATTCTATGACCTGATCCTGCCCTGTTTTGCATTGCTCTGAGTGATGTAGTTGCTGTCAGTATAAACACTGGCTGGATGTTCTCTCACAATGTGGCCAGGAAGACAAATGCTTTGCCCAACATCAGAGCACCATTTGTGGCTCCTGGACTTGTAATTATTTCACCAGTTTGCATCTTCTGGTTTAGACCTCAAAGAGTCTGCAGAGCACAGACATTCATCTCCAACCACATCTTCCTTTATTTTATGTTAGATTATTGCTCCTTTACCAACTTGTACAAACATCTATTCATTTAGCATTTCTCATCTCGTTTTTTAGTTTTAAAATGAGCGATTGACTGGTTACAAGCCAATCAATGCATTATTTCCTCTGAGACAAAAAAAACACCATCCATTCGTGAGTCAAAAAAAAAAAAAATCTTAGAGTGATTTAGTTCTGTTATTATATCAATTTTCTGCTGTGTTTTTTTCTTACTCTCATCTTTAAAATTCCTTCTTCCTTTGCTCCTGCCTGTCCATCACACTCACATTCACACACATCTGTGCACAGGAAGGCTCTCTCTTGCATATGAGGGAACTGAGTTGGAGAAGAGGAGGCTCAGAGGAAACCTTATTACTCCCTACAGCTCCTCCAAGGAGATTGGGGCGAGGTGGGGATCAGCCTCTGCTCCCAGGTAACAGCGATAGGATGAGAGGTGGCAGCCTTAAGTTGTGCCATGGGACGGTCAGGTTGGATGTTAGGAAACATTTCTTGTCTGAAAGAGTAGTCAGGTATTGGCACAGCTGCCCAGGGAGTGGTGGGATCACCGTCCCTGGAGGTGTTCAAGAAGAGGGGATGTGGCACTGAGGGACGTGGTCTAGAGCAGTCACAGACAGCAGTTGATGGTTGGACTAGATGATTCTGATTTCCTACCTTAATGATGCTGTGATTTTATGCCTTGGTTGTTTGTGCAGTGGGACGCGCTCCATCTCCCCACTCTGAGCCTAGAGAACTCTATTCCACCACGCATTCCTTGGTGCTGGGCAGCAGGAAAGCCATCCTTTGTGTTACGACCGCAATCCCTTAGCTTTGCACCCACACCTCCCTGCACCCTTCCCCATTGCCATGGCAGACACTGACACATCCCTGTACCCCTCCAGGGCCTGCGTGCGGCGGACAACGACCCCACAGCCCCCCCGTACGACTCACTGCTGGTCTTTGACTACGAGGGCAGCGGCTCCACCGCCGGCTCCGTCAGCTCCCTCAACTCCTCCAGCTCCGGGGACCAGGACTACGACTACCTGAACGACTGGGGGCCGCGCTTCAAGAAGCTGGCGGACATGTATGGAGGAGGCGAGGAGGATTGAACTGACCTCACTTATTTAAAAAAAAAAAAAAAAATACAAATAGAAGAAGGAGAAGAAAAAAAAAAAAAAACGATTAAAAACAAACCCACAGACAACATTAACGAGAAGAGCCGATGCAGAAGCAAGAACTGTACAGATGTGGCAGCTTTTTTAATTAATATCCCCTGCTGACTGTATTGTTATTTTTAGTGGTGATTTAGGAGGTTTCTTTTTTTTTTTTTTCCTTTTCTTTCCTTTTCAATTTCTTTTTTTTTTTTTTTTTTGTTAGGATATTGAGCTGTCTCGCATGAACACTTGTCTCTGCTGCAGGTTTTTTTTTGGTTCTGGTTTTTGTTTTTAATGTCAGCTGGGATATTGCTCGTTTATCTGCTTTATGACTAAAGAGAGTGAAAGGCACTCTGTCTTAACTTGAATTTCTTAGAACAGAAGCACTGTTTTTAAAATATATATATATATATTTGAAAGTGCCTTTTGGTGCATGTATCAGATTCCCTTCAATCTCAGGAGTGATGAAAACTAACACACAACCATCCTGGGCAGCACTCCCTGTGACCCTAAGCCAGTTCTATCTGGGAAGGAGTTAACAAAAAGGAACTGTGGAGATTGTTTCTTTTCTTTATTTTGCCTTTTTTTTTTTTTTTTTTTTTTTTTTTTAAGGGGGTGACTCACTCTGGGGTGGAGAGGCTGGGGTGGGTGGGAGGGGGTTATGTTTTGAGTGAAAATCTTAACAGCCATCTTTAAGCCTCAGCAGGTGGTGAACCAGTCATCATGTTGTATATAACTCAGTGTTATCAGATGCAAAATACCGACTAGGGGCTCTGCTGTAACCTGGTCACACTCAATGTAGCTGCATAGAACTATAGCATTGATAAAGCCTTTGGTTATCGCGACAGAACTCTCCAACAGCCCTTGCCTACACCCTACAAGTAAATCGTGAATTGACCAAAGGCCCACTTGTTTGTTTTTATGCTATCGGCGTGTTTTGGCTCCCACGAGCGATGTAAATACCGGCGGGGTTGCGTGGTGCTGCCCACGGCCCCGGCCGCTCCCCCACCTGAAGGAGGGCACGAGGAGCGCGGGGCACCGCTGCCATCCGCGAGGATGGAGCTCAGCCAGTCCGATGTGAATGCCTTGGAGCATCCGTAGCCAAAGCTCAACACCATCACGTAACTCAGCTAATGTGTGTCCGTTCTATTCGATGGGTAGGCACTGCTATCTGTAGTAAATGTTTTTGGGTTGTTTTGTTTTGTTTTGGATTTTTTTTTTTGGAGAAGAACAGCGAGGGCCTGTTCAGTATCTTGTGGTTAATGTGCTCGAGCATTGCCAAGCAAGCGAGAGGTTTTGCAGCATCCAGGCGTAACTCCACATCAGTATTATAAATGGTAGCATACTACCTAGTTTATATGTAGGATCAGTTTAACCAATAACAAATAGTTATTAGCTTTTTTTATTACATTTTTCCTTTACTGATTTGGACTAGTGGGTTTCTGTCTAATGTTTGTAAAATGATTTAGACTGCATGGATGTGTAATATAAACCACATTTAATGGATTATGAGCCACTTAATTAATGTGCTATGAAATCTTGGATTACCTGTGTTTTATATTCTGCAGACGATTTTGCAGTGGGTTCGCTACAAATTGTAAAAGTGCTTAGATCTATTTTCATTTAAATCCAAGAATGTGCACAGTACCGGAAGGTGATTATCCAGGGGATAATCGCGCTTTTTTGATATCTTGATTAATTCTCAAGTTGAATGCCAAGAGTTAACCAGGGGGGGGCGGGGGGAGCGAGCGCATGCACCGAGAGAGCGCGAGAGTGAGAAGCAGAGAGCTTGTGCCGGCGAGTGGGCCTTGTTTCAGAGGGTGCAGACTGGGCTGCAAGATCGTCTCTATCGATTTTTGAAATGCTCCTAGTGCATTTTATATTTCACTGTATCATATTTTCTATAAAATGCAATTTCTGTAAATTAACGAGCATTTGAAATGTGTCTTGTATGAAGTGGAATGTGGTAAAAGTCTGCCCGAGGGGACTCGCACGTCACCGGTCCGTTATTGACCCCCAGGATGTGACCTTTCCTTTCCCCTTGGTCGCTCGGTCCGTTCGTCCTTTCCCTGCCTACAGAGCCGATACGAACGCTGGAGGACGCACAGAGAGCAGCATGCACCCATCCCCGTGAGCAGTGCTGGTACCCAACGCCTTTCCCATTTGTGTCCCAGAGCTCACACACCCTGCATGGCCACACTCCTGGCTGCCCTCCCCCCAGCAGCCTGTACCGTTCTGTTCCAGCATTCCTGTTGCTTTCACCAACCAGAGTTTGCCCCCCTGCAGAAACTCCCCGCCCACAGCAGTAAGTAATGAAAATGCAGTCGGTGCCCCTCGCACAGCAGCATTCTGTGCCCTGCTCTGTAACCTCAGCACGTGGCTCTGGCCGCTGGTGTCCCCATGCAGGGCTGTAGGGCCATATAGCGCTGAGCTCCTTCCTTCTTGGCCAGTCAGGAGATGCCATCAGCCTTCAGCTCGTCTGAACAGTTCAGGTTTTTAAGAACATTTACGCAACCTAAGTCAAATGAAACTGTTTGAGTGATTAAAAATAAACCATTGGAAACTTTTTTTTAAGAAATCAGCGGATATTTTTCTGCAGCGTTAGCAATCCAGCCGCTCCAACCCCATAAGCCTATAAATCAAACTAGTTGATTATCTTTCGACCCAGTTCTGCTCAGCCTCCCTCCATAGGACCACCTCCTGCTCCACCACCACCCTGCAGTGCCACACATGCAGCCCCTTCCCTCCGGTGGAAAAGGCAGAAGGTAAGCAAGCAGCACCTCGAGCAACGTAAATCAGAGAATCACAGGATGGGTTGGGTTGGAAGGGACCTTAAAGCCCATCCAGTTCCAATCCCCTGCCGTGGGCTGGTTGCACCCCAACAGATCAGGCTGCCCAGGGCTCCTTGCAGATCCCTTTTTGCAAATCTTTCTGTGCGTTAATATTGCATCTGCTTTATAACCCAGCTAAGATAGCATCCCAAGCCTTTCCGGTTGGGTAGGAGGAAAACTTTCTTCTCAGAAGGAGCGGTGATGCAGTGGCACAGCTGCCCAGGGGGTGGTGGGGTCACTCACCATCCCTGGTGGTGTTCAGGAGGCGTGGAGATGTGGCACTGAGGGATGTGGGCAGTGGGCACAGTGGGGTGGGCTGGGGGTCTTAGAGCTCTTTTCCAACCTTAAGGTTTCCATGATTAAGGATCTGATAGAAGTGGCATTGCCATTCACACTGGAAGTGACTGCAGCTTACCAGGAGCCAAGGTGGGAAAGCGCCAACATAACCTGACTGTACTCTTAAAGGTCACTCAGGCTTGCTCTGTGATTAAATAAATGCAAGATTAAATTTTAGAAACTAAGTGGTTCTGACCCACTAGAGCCCCCAGTTTTTCCATGCCACAAGGCACTGGGGGAAAGGAGCATTGCATTTGGACAGGCAGAGAAGAGCCCACCCCAAAATACCCTTTTCACATCCAATTCCCCCACACCTCATTCCACTGCCAGGAGCTCCCAGCAGTGTCCAGGGGATGGGGACAAAGACAGGGAGGGGTGATTAGAGGAGACCTATAAGGTCTGTTCTGGGTGTCCTCTGCATTGTAATAGTTTGGATTCTGTTTTTGTGTTTTCTTGTTTTTGCTAGACCAGGTGATGCCACCGCTGGCTGCAGGGTGAAGTGGGACCCCAATAGGTTTGCAGGGTTTGAATCCACCAGTGTGGGCTTGCGAGCGTTGGAGGGTCATAATGCTGCGTGCAGGGTCTGTGCAACACAACACGCCAAGATAGCAACTTTGTGTAGTCTCAAAGAAAATATACTAAGGTAAAACACAGGCTTTTAGTTGTAATGTCTTTTGGCGCTCTTCATGGTGAAAAGAACGGGGCTGGCTGGGGGGATGCTGTGTGTGACGGCTAGATGCACTCATGGCAGCAGCCGGGCAGAGAGCTGCCCCCACCCAGCGCTAACGGGGAAAAACTCCAAGTCATCTCGGGGCACACAGACCCACAGCTCACCACCATGTGTACATAATGTAGTTAGTGCTTGAAGCAGCGTGTCGGAAAGGCGACAAAGAGCCACGGCGACGTATCGATGTATCACTGGAGCACTTTTTGTTCTGAGTTTGCATGTTCCCGGTGCAGGAGCGGCGTGGCAGCCCGCGTGGCCACGGTGGGAAGGCCTCTGCTGTTCCGCTGTGTTCACGCAAAAAAGCAGTTTGTGTCCGAGCTCAAAGCCCCTTTTTTTGTAACCGTCAACAGCACAAATCTTTTGTATTGTTGTTTGTACCATTTTTGTACCAAAAAAATCAAAAGAGGGAAAAAAAAAAAAAAAAAAAGGGAGGGAAGAAAGTAGATGTTTTCAATGTGTTTTCAGTGCCACTGCAATCTTGGTTTCCAAACTGATAACAGCTTTGCTGATTTACTGTGTATCAAAGCTGAACTGGCGCGCCGACGCCTGGCTCCGGTGTAATAAAAATAAAGTCCCCCTTTTGAACAGTCTCATTTGCTTCTGTAAGACAAAAACTCCACTCTCCCCTGCTGCACAGCGCCGCAATGGCTGGTGATGGCTTCACTCCTGCAGCGGGGCAGCAAGCGGTGTGCAGGCCATGGGTTCACATTCCTGTACATGGGTGTCAGTGGGGCTTTTTGTCCCAGCACACACAGGTGGATCGAGTGGGGTCCGACCTCTGCCGTTCATTGCCCCGCTATTCCATGGCCACAGGGAATGGGGCCGGGATGTGCAGCCCCAGCGTGGCAGGCACCTCATCTGTAATACGCACTGAGATGAATGCAAATCCAGCACGCGGCCATTTACTTCCCCCCGGAGTCAACTAAGAATATTGTATTGCTAGTTTTGCTAATTCTCAAGCTGCTCTGTTTCTTAGAATTATCTTTAACTACTGAATAATGCAATGCTGTTTCATCACAAATATTAGCTCTGCTATCACTGGCAGCTCCACCATCCTGCTATTGGGCTCCCACCCACCCGCAGGAAGCCTTGTTCTGAGAATGACTGAGCTCCATGC